CTTTTGGAATGCCGAGTTGACTGCAGAATCATTCTACAAGGAGGATCCAGCCTATATTGCTGATAAAGCATTAATTGAAAAGGTTGGAGTTGTTCAAGGTTTGGACTCAGTGCAAGTGTTTCTACAAAGATCCATCGCTGTGGTGGATCATTGGAAGAAAAAGTGGGAGAAGAATGCTACATTGATGTCCAAACTGAGAACTGAAAATGCGCAGGTTGGGTCATTGGTTAATGAGGTTGGCGATTTGAAGAGAAAATTGGAGGAAAAGTCCAAGGCTTTTGAAATTTCGGTGAGATCAAATAAATCTTATGCAGCAAAAGTTGAGGATCTTTTGAAGAAGGTGAATCTGTTGGAAAAAGAAAAAGAAGCTCAAGCAGAGAACGTGAGGATGTTGGAAAAGAAAACAAAGGACTATGAGGGGAATATTCAAAACTTGAAGGGCAAGATGGTAGAGCTGTACAAGAAAAACAAGGCTTGCCAATAAGTCATTGCTATTAATGTGAAAAAGATTGGGGAACTAGATAATGATAACAAAAAGATGAAGGGTGAGATGGAGGCTACCGAATACCAAGTGGTTGTGGAGCACAAAAGGGGTTTTGCGAAAGCACTAAGACAAGTACAAGTTATTGCCCCAAATGTCGACTTGGGAGAAGTTCACATCACCAAGGATGTTTTCAAAGGGAAACTTGTTAATGAAGATGACATCCCTGATGATGTAAGCGGCGAGGAGAATAATGAGTAGCTTTGCTAATTTGATGATCACTAGCGTATTTTGCATTTAGGATTTATGTTTACTACTGCTTTCTCCTGCCTTCATAGGCTAAATATGTAATTTTTGACGATGTTATGATGTTTTGGATGTTAAGTTATTTACATTGTTATGCTTAAATTTGACTCGTGAATGTCAAGTAAGATGAAAGCTCTAATATTTGTCGTGAATACGGTTTGACTTCAAACTTAGCTAAAGTAAAAACAAAGAGGAAATTGACACTGGTTTGAAAGATGAAGTAGGCTCAAACTTGGCCATGCTGTGAATTGAGATTAAGTCAAATGTCTTATGCTTGAAGTAGTAAAATTGGCTCATACTTGGCCAATTTATCCAATATATTAATAAAATAAGATCGACTCAAAATTGGCCGTATTATGAACGAAGCATAAATTTTGCTCAAGCTTGGTTAAATTATAGATAAATATAAAATTCGACTCAAACTTGGCCGAGTATCATATGCAAATGATAGCATTGGCTCAGACTTGGCCAAGTATCATATATGACGATATGGGCTCAAACTTGGCCGGCTCAAATTTGGCCACTGAAAAATAATATTGGCTCAAACTTGGCCAATTTTGTTGACATTGGTTCAAACTTGGCCGAATTTCATGGGCATTGGCTCAGACTTGGCCAATTTTATTAACATTGGCTCAAACTTGGCCGAATTTATTGATTACTGGCTCAGACTTGGCCAACTTAATTAATATGGGATGATTACAATTTTATTAATATGGAATAATTGCATGTAATTTCTGGGGCAAAGACTGTAATAGTTAAGTAGAATGAAAAAGAAAGGACTAAGTTGAGAGAAGAGAGAATGTATATTATAAGATTGGACGTCAATTACATCTCTTCTACTTCCCCAGGTATGCCTCGTTAAAACCTCTTCAACCAAAACCCTTTTTTTTTATTGAAAAAAAAGACTGAAGTAGGAAAAAGAGTATAATACCTGGGTTTACACATCTTAGCTATAATAAAATTTCAAATGAGTAGCGTTCCAAGTTCTTGGGATAACTTTGCCACCCAATTCTGTCAGTCTGTATGCACCATTGTGCAGACATTCTAAGATGCGGAAAGGGCCTTCCCAATTAGCTGTGAATTTCCCCGCTGATGTGTCTTTTCTAGCTTCTCCGACAGCTCTCCAAACAAGGTCCCCTTCTCGGAAGGATCTCGGCTTTAGTTTGGAATTGTATCTCCGAGATGCTCTGAGCTTGCATGCCTCTTCTTGAACTCGGGCGCACTCTCTGGTTTCATCTATGAGATTGAGATCAGTTCTCAGTGTCTCTATATTTTGAGCTGTATCAAAAGTTAGTCTTCGGTGACTTGGTTCCCCGATCTCTACTGGTATCATGGCATCAGACCCATAAGTTAACTTATATGGGGTTTCTTGAGTGGTAGTCTGTGGTGTGCAATGATAGGCCCATAAAACACCAGGTAGTTCATCTACCCACTCTCCTTTTGATGTGCCAAGTCTTTTCCTGAGTTCTCTAAGGATAACCTTGTTGGCAGCTTCAACTTGACCATTTGTCTGTGGATATTCAACCGAAGTAACTTTGTGATTGATCTCGAGTTGCCTCAAAAATTGCTCGAAATTTTTATCAACGACCATGCTTTCCATTATCAGTGGTTATAGCATGAGGTAAGCCATACCTACAGATAATTCTCTTCCACGTGAATCTTTGAACATTGGTTGCAGTGATCTTTGCTAGGGCTTCAGCTTCAACCCATTTCGTGAAGTAATCAATGCCAACCAATAAGAATTTTAGTGGACCTTTGGCTATTGGAAAAAGGACCAAGAATATCCATCTCCCACCAGGCAAAGGGCCATGTTGACTGCATGGAATGCAGAGTTGTTGGAGGTAACTGGTGTAGATTGTCGAACTCTTGGCAGGCTTTACATTTCTAAACATATGACTTACAGTCCGATCTCATAGTCGGCCAGTAGTATCCAACTCGGATAACTCTGGCAGCCATGGACCGAGCTCTGGAATGCATGCCACAGATTCCGCGGTGGATCTCATTCATTACATAGTTGGCTTGATCTGTGTCTAAGCATTTGAGGAGAGGCATGGAAAAGCCTCGTTTGAACAACTCATCCGCTTCAATCGTAAAGTGGCGTGACTTGTTTTTAATTTTGGAAGCTTCTACTTTACTATCTGGCAAGGTCCCATCTTTAAGATATTTCCAAATGTCGGCCATCCAACCTTGCTGGTATGAATTGTTGGCAAAAATTGCTGTAACTTGGCAACTAGGGGCAGCTATTGTTTCTTGAATGATGATCTTATGTTGGCCAGGGCGCTTAGTGCTAGCAAGCTTTGATAATAAGTCGGCCCTTGCATTCTGCGCTCTTGGGATGTGCTCCATTTGGAAATTATCGAAAAAAGATTCAAAAAATTAAAATCATAGAATTATAATATTTGAAAAACTAAAATTTTGGATTAAAATTTGAAAAATAAAATTGTTATAATTTTAATATTTAAAGAATTAAATCTCTAGAATTAGAATTTCATGAGATAAAAACACAATTATGGTAAAATTATTTTTAATTCTAAAC